TTAATCGTTATTTGTTCATACTAGTACTAGTCGCGGCACCCCACACCAAATTGTAATAGTTTATTTGTGCACTGTTCGAGGCGGGGTTTAGGCCGCACGTCCGGAAGCTTCCTGGCTCGAGACGACGTCCATTCCCCGAAGTGAAGAACCCAGGGGTTTAGTGGAGGTGGGAGACTTGGTAACGTAACGAACGGTTTAATTACATGGTAGCGATACAGTCGTCAAATCCGAGAGAACAACGGAGCAGCCTCGCGCTCCGCCTTATATAGGGTCCGTTTCTCCCTCACTCTCCGCCAGGGCAGCCAGTGCGATGCAGGAACCCGCCGTCAAGTGCGACGCAGAAAAGTCCGCCGTCCAGTGCGACGTAGCCAAAGTTCTCCGCAGTTAGGCCATGCCTCTCTCCCTTTTCCGAGCGCACCAACCACCACGCACACACACACACGTCCCGCCAACGTCACGGGCGCGTTGAGACTTGTTGCCGCAGGCCCCGTCACGCAGGCGACGGTCCCAGACTCGTCGGGACTCGTTTCGCGCAGGCCCCGACAAGCGGGCGACGGTCCCGGACTCGTCTTGACTCGTTTCCGCAGCGTTGAAACGCGGAAGAAGGTCGCCGAAGGTTCCATTCTTAACAGCCCCTCCGGGGCCAGGGAAACCTCGAATGGCCGGTGGTACTATCGCTGGCCTGAAGAGGTGGGCTTGGAGTAGGCCTTGAGAAGATGCTGCAAGCACTAGCAAACTCCCAAACCTCTCACAACGGAGGCATCAGCGGAAACGTCCCCCACAACACCACGCCACACCGCAGTCAAACGCTCGGAATCCGCCAGAGACCCGCCAGACTGAATTACGGATTACCAAAATTTGCCAAAACAATGCAATTTAAAACCTTAGGACAATTTCGGGTATCGAGACCCGCTGTCGCCAAAGCAAAACTCATTTTTCCAAAAAGGTCACTATGAACAAAATACAAAAAGACAAAAACTCTTCGCAATTTGTGAGGTCATTTTGAGGTTTTAACGAAGTGCCCCCACTTAGATCCTCATTCCCGTGGATGACGAAAACCTCTGAGATCATCCCTACTCTTTTTGGTGATATCAGAAAAATCTGCTCAACCCATCGGCATTGCTGTTAAATTTGCCTTTCCTCTTTCTTACGCTGAAATCATAGTGATCGATTTTCACGTGATTTCTAGACGTGAAAATGCGGTCCTTATAGCGCCGATAAAACAATCCGCCTTTTTCATGCCCCGTCATATTGGTCCTAGCAATCTCCTGAGCTGTACCGCGAAACCCTGACACACTAGGGTCGCTCTTCTGCTCGACTGTCAAAGACGCTCTGTCTACTCGTAACGGAGGACCAAAGTTACGTGACGCCGCAGCTACGAGAGATCCTTTAATGATCCCGTCTTCCTCCGCCTTTTTCGCCGGCGCGTTGGGACGGCGTACGCTCTCTAGTGCTACGAGGTCGGGCTGTTCTACAACCCGGACCCCCTCATCCCGTTTTTCTGCCTCCAACTCTGGGAGTGCTTGCTCCCCGTCAGCTGCCTTTCGCTCTGGACCACTCGTTAACAAAGGGGCGAGCTGACGCGATTTGGACCTCGTACACGACTGAAGTAGTCCTCCTCCCAGTTGTTGACCCCTTTCGCGCAGCAGGAAATCTGACCGGTTAGAAAACAAATAGGGATACTCCAACGGGACTGTTTGCGAGACAGCCGCCTCTGTCACTAGCTCTCCGAACGGGCCAGTTATCCTTACTCTCGCCATAGGCAGACAGACACTGTGCTTCTCGAGCAGCTGCTTGATCCAAACTACCTTTCCAGTAAAGTCGGATGTCGTTACATACGACGGATGAACAACGTCCATCGTCGCTGCACTGTCACGAAGCACCCTGCACGGCTTTCCGTTTACCTGGAGCTCGTGAAGATAGGGACGAAGAAGCTCCAGGTCCCTGTCACTACCGCTCACGTACGAGAACACAACCCGCGGTTTGTTACACCTGGCCGCTGTGTGTCCCGGCTCCTGACAGTTGTAGCACAGGAACGGCTTCCTTGCCTCGAACTGCCCTTTTTGGCTTTTCCGTGCCTCGTCTCCGTTCGAGGGATCTCCGTTCGAGGGATCTCCGCTCTTTTCTGGGACCTTTTGTCCTGTTTCTGGCTTCTCGTGCCTTTTTTCTCGCGAGCCGTTTCCCTGTTGGAAGGGCTTGCGCTGATCGCTCCGGCCGGGTTCGCTGTCCTCTCCGCTCAGCTTTCTACGCGTTGCGTACTCTTCGGCTAGCTCAGCGGCCCTTTCGACAGAGTCGACTCCCACCCTATCCTGCACCCAGAGCTTGACTGACTGCGGAATGCCACGAAAGAACTGTTCGAGGCACACACACTCGACTACCTTGTCGCGGCTTTCGTACACTTCCTCGCTCTTCAACCATTCTATCAAGTTGGTTTTAAGCGCGTACGCGAATTCCGAGTAGCCCTCGCTGCTCTTTTTGGATGCGTTTCTAAACCTTTGACGGAACGCCTCGGCAGAAAGGCGATACCGCTTCAAAAGGCTCGACTTCACCTTGTCGTAGTCGTCCGCGTCTATAGTACTAAGGCGCGCGACAACCTCTGCAGCCTCACAGGGCAACAAAGTCAAAAGCCGTTGCGGCCACGTTTCTGGGGCGAAGCTCAACTTCTCACATGTCCTCTCAAAGTTAACTAAGAATAGGCCCACGTCTTCCCCAACTTTAAACGGCTGCAGGAGCTTCTTCATTTGATACGACTCGGCCTCACTTGCTCGTACCGGAGCCCCAACTCTACTGTTCTGCGAGTTTAATCGCTGTTGTTCAATTTCGAGCTCTAGCCTTTTTAGCGCTCGTTCCTCTGCCGCTGCAGCCTGCGCTCGTTCCTCTCTTGCTGCAGCCTGCTCCTGTTCTCGTTCCTCTTTCGCTGCAGCCTGCGCTCGTTCCTCTCTCGCTGCAGCCTGTTCTCGTTCCTCTTTCGCTGCAGCCTGCGCTCGTTCCTCTCTTGCTGCAGCCTGCTCCTGTTCTCGTTCCTCTTTCGCTGCAGCCTGCTCCTGTTCTCGTTCCTCTTTTGCTGCAGCCTCACTTTTAGCGTTCTGAAGTAATTCCCACGCAATTTTAATATCCTCTGCTTCCGCGCTCTCTGAAATTGCTTTACTGATCTCAGATTTCTTCATCTTTTGCTCCACCTCCACACCAAATTCTTCACATAAACAGAGTAAATCTGTTCTCAGTAACCTCATTAGATCCATGATCGCTGCTCTTTAGCTTTGGCTTTGCTATAAAACTTGTCGCGAGGTTGTACACAAACCTAGCGCACGAGTCAAACACTAAGGATTCCCAGCAGTTCAAAATTAATTACCCATAATCTGAAGCCTGGCGAATCTCAAAGCAAAGTCCAAACGCTCACCCACAGATGTAGCACGATGTCGCATGGTCCGATCCCAACTGCTGCCAACCAGTTGTTCGAGGCGGGGTTTAGGCCGCACGTCCGGAAGCTTCCTGGCTCGAGACGACGTCCATTCCCCGAAGTGAAGAACCCAGGGGTTTAGTGGAGGTGGGAGACTTGGTAACGTAACGAACGGTTTAATTACATGGTAGCGATACAGTCGTCAAATCCGAGAGAACAACGGAGCAGCCTCGCGCTCCGCCTTATATAGGGTCCGTTTCTCCCTCACTCTCCGCCAGGGCAGCCAGTGCGATGCAGGAACCCGCCGTCAAGTGCGACGCAGAAAAGTCCGCCGTCCAGTGCGACGTAGCCAAAGTTCTCCGCAGTTAGGCCATGCCTCTCTCCCTTTTCCGAGCGCACCAACCACCACGCACACACACACACGTCCCGCCAACGTCACGGGCGCGTTGAGACTTGTTGCCGCAGGCCCCGTCACGCAGGCGACGGTCCCAGACTCGTCGGGACTCGTTTCGCGCAGGCCCCGACAAGCGGGCGACGGTCCCGGACTCGTCTTGACTCGTTTCCGCAGCGTTGAAACGCGGAAGAAGGTCGCCGAAGGTTCCATTCTTAACAGCACCAAGCAACGGTCGCAGTGTCGGTGCAATGGCTTCCACGCTAGGCAACAGCCTCCTGGAGCGTAACCGGAAGAGGCAGAACAGAACTTGTTCTTTCAAACGTTGTCACTGCCACCCTAGATGCCTACTAGAAACATAAGCTCCAACAACTTAACACTTAGTGATAATAAAAAAAAAAAAACGTGCAATTCAGTTACTTAAAACAGGAAAGTAAATTCGTTTATAAATATTTAGACTTTTGCATTACGTTAATGTCGAAGGATTAAACACAGTGCGCCTCGAAGCGCCGCAACGAACTTCAAATGCCCCAGCGACAAATAGATCCCAGTGGCCGGAACATGAGAAACCAATCGCTGTGATTAGCCTCGCCGTGCCGGCTGTCCCAAGTGTGTATATATATATATATGTATATATTTGTGTGTGACGCAATCGTTACACGTACCTTCAAGCTAGAAACTGCAGGAGACTAAAAAGTCTTTGGACGCCTCTTGGTGCACAGTCGGCGGAACGCAACCAACATAAGCCAATCTTCAAAAAAACAAAAAACAAAAAAGTATTCTGACAAATTATTTTATCTTTCCGTGTCGTCAGAAAAATTGCGCGTTCGTACTCAGTGGCGTGACGACGCCACTTCTCTCGGAACATTTGAAAACATAGCTTCTCATACGGTTTGGAAGACGGACCGCTAGATCTGCTTCGTTTTATTTGCCTATGTATCCCGTTTTATCACTATGTACTAAAACCAACGCTCTGGCTGTAAAGGCCCAGAGGAAGTACGCACCGGCGGCCATAGCTGCGTGCGCGGCTGCTGAGCGCGTGCTGACGGCCAGCTTCCGCATATTCCTTCTGAAGTACGCCTTCTGAAGTATGCCTTCTGGTCAGAGATGTGAATCTACGATTGTAATGAATACCAAGACCCAACCTTCGTGCCAAAAAAGAAATCAAATACACAATCCCAACCTTGCCTCTTCTCCAGGGCTCGCACCATGCGCCACAATTGGCGTGCACGCAAGAAAGACCGCCCGGTGCTCCAGCAGTTCTCTCTCCGGCTGTACCGCGCCATGTCCAAGAGCGGCTCGAACGTGTTCGTGTCGCCCTTCGGCACGGCCGTGGCCCTGGTCAGCGCTCTGGCGGGCTCCAGGGGCGACACGGCGGACCAGATCCTCAAGGCCCTGGGGGTGTCCAACGAGGACGAGCTCCTGCACGAGTTTGACACCATAGGCCGGGCCCTGGGACAGCTGTCCGAGAACCACGTCGGCCTCGCCAACAAGATGTACCTCTCGACCAGCCTCGAGCTCGCAGACTCCTTCAAGGAGGCCATCCACCGAGACTTCTACGCCCAGGTAGGCCCCTAGCAACCAGTAAAGACCGTGCTCAGACAATACCACCTACAGAGGATGACACGTTGAGAGACAAGTAGGTTCTCCGTCTACAGCACACGTTCGTTGCCTTCCGATAGGATTACTGCACCTGCAACGATGTGTTACCAAAGGTCTAGGGTAAATGCTTCCAGTAGATGATCCGCCTCGAGCAGTCATAAAAGGCTCTTGAGGCGGAGCATGCACTGGGTTCTTAACCTACATGTCACCGACTATAGAAGAATGAAAGCCTGGGAACAGCCTCCTTCGTCTCAACATGACGTCATCACGGGAGGTGGCGGGTTCAAATCCTGGCGGAGTTACCCGCAAACTGACGGAGACTTATTGAGGAGAACGCGCCGTGTAACAGAGCTTTTGGTTGCACGTCAAAGAATTCCCAGCAGGTTGAAATAATTACTCGGCCCTCCGCTAGGGCGTTCCAGATTACCGTGGTTGCTTCGTTACGTAGATCCCCCAAATTTTACTTTAATCACACTAGGTGCAAACTCGGCAATTGTATGCTCTGTGTATGCCCTCGGTCTGCACAGTGATGATATCAAAATGTTAGTACACGGTCTTTGATTATTCTAGGTGGTATTGACTCAGATCATATTGAAGTTGGACAATCATTCAAAAGAAGCAACCTTGACAGTCGCTGTTTCGATAAGAGACTGGAATATACTTTAGGTCGCGGACATGATTGACAACAGATCATCACTAGTCGCTGATTACTATTGGACACAGTGCATCACGGGTCAGAAAATATTGGTGATCACGGATTATTCTTGGTCACTGATCATTATTGGTAACATATAATCGCTGATCATATATTAAAACTGTTCAGAGATCATCGATGGCAACCGCTCATCGTTAGTCAATCCTGCCATGCGCTGCGAAAAAGGAAGCAAACGCGGTAAAGTCGACACACGTGGGCTCCTCTCCATAGGCCGACTGGCGACATATTTTGTGCTAGCGTATATAATATTTACTAACAGAAGATGTCTTGTCCGGGATGTCAGTCAGCCTACAAGAGTAGGGAAAACATTAGGGAATAAAAAAAAAAAAACACGATTGTGAGAGTTAGGAAATCTTTCGGATATCTTTTACTTCATTTTCACTCTAAACAAAAAGTCTGTGCGTCTACTTTCACGCACAACCCTCGGAGAGCCAATCACCGCAACTTACGGACGCAGCTCAGCGAATGAAGATGCCGAAACATCCGTTTAGACCAAAAAACGCAGTCCGAGTTGTGAGATTAAGCAATGCAAGCGTGACATTTTGCATTGCTTAATGTCACTAATCAGACAGCGTTTTTTTTTGTTTTTTTTTGTTTAAACATATGTTTCGGCATCGTCAATCGCTGAGCTGCCTCCGTAAGTTGCGGTGATTGGCTCTCCGGGAGTTGTGCGTAAAAGTAGACGCACGGACTTTTTTTTAGAGTGTTGAACGTTCGTTTCTCAAGACATATCAGTACTTATCGGTTCCTCGCTGTCAATAGCGGGTTAAGAGAGAAAGAAATATTCGAACGGGAGCTCCAAACAATGCAGTTACTGACAGAGTGAGAACGTCAGGGCGTGTCTTTCGGTCATCCGGCCTCGAGCACGCGCTCCATGCCTTCCGTCGTGCTTTGGCTCGAGGTGCACCAGATGCCGAAGCGTTGCCGAAGGTAGGACGCTCGCGCTGGATGCGTGTCCACCGAAGCTCCTCTCCTGCCGTTCTCACCTTGTCAGTTAGAATAATGTTCTAGTTTTTTTTCTTTAATTTTATTAATGTTTTCGCATGCTGCCGCCTCTTTCCAGCCACCGAAGAGGGACAGATGTTAAACGAAGTGATCACGTTATGCAATTCTAAGTCTCTGGAAATATCAGGCTTCTGTGAGTTCAAAGAGAACCACGGCTGTAGACGTTTTCTCACTCAGGCTATACTTCATCTCATCCTGCGATGGACTAAAGGCCAAAGCCACGGGCCACCAGGTCCAATCACGGGGAACGCGACAGAACAGCACACGACAAAACAGCACGCGACAAAACAGCACGGTCAAAACAGCACGCGTCAAAACAGCACAGCGTCAAAACAGCACGGCGACAAAACAGCACGCGTCAAAATAGCACGCGACAAAACAGCACAGCGTCAAAACGGCACAGCGACAAAAGAGCATGGGCCAAAACAGCACGGCGTCAAAACAGCTCAGCGACAAAACAGCACGCATGTAGCAACTTCGAGCGCGCTCTTCACTCTCTCTGCACAAATAATTTCGAACCTCCTTGACCCTTTCATTCTTTTGGCGCTAGGTTGTAAAGGATGGGGGCATACTTGAAGATATTGGGTAGCTAGAGGTGATATTTTCGCGTCGATGTGGCCGCGTTGTCTGGTCTTTTTTGTAGGACCAGCGAAAGCGGAAAAGTTATTGAGAAAAAGAAATCCATAAGTTCAAGTTATGATCCGTCTGGTTTGCGGCGGTCCGGTAAGGTTTCGCAGTACTCGTCGTTTCGTAATTACCACCTAAGCCTAGACCCCCCCCCCCCCCCCCCTTCCAGAAAAAAAAAAAAAAAAAGCGGGAGATGCGCCATTACAGATGCATTGATAGAACCGGTAAGATTAGGTGACTTTAATGTCGAGCGTATTCAAGGTATACCATAGGCGCCGATTCTGCGCGGTTCATTCGCCGTGAATAATATGTCCAGGAAACACGCGGCTGCAGCTTGCAAGCGAGAAGTCGTTTTGAATTAAATTCACACATTATTTCCGACAAAGGCCTCGATCGAGGGGAAACCGCAGAAGCAGAAACATGCCACAGCCTCAATGCTGCTGCCGTACAGTATGGGCTGAGCACACTGTTGCCGCAGACGCTTTCTGTTTTTGTTTTGTTTTGTTTTATTTTTTTAACAATTGACGACGACATTATCCCGTTCGATTAATCCCTTTTTTTTTTTTTGACGACATTGCCAGCAAACTTGCGCGTCATAATTAGCAGAACTGCTCGAGAAATCGCCAGAATACGCACGAGCAAAGGCTTCGGTACTGCCCAGGGAGCCTTCAGGCGCCCATCGAGCCTTCATGTGCCACTCCGAACTTGCTCCCAAAAAAAAACGGATTTGACAAATTGGCCCTCGACGAGTTGGCTTTCGACGAATTGGCCTAGACCCTCCATTTCTTTGCAGTGCCTACTTTGAGACATACATTTTTTTAACTACATAGGGTTCAGCGTTTTCGGCTTAAACCGAATAAAACCGGTAAAAGTACGCCGAATTATTTTTTTCAAATTCGGTTTCAACTGAAAAAGGTCAGTATTTTCGAGGGAGTTCGGAGAGGCAAAGGGGGGGGGGGGGGGGGGGTTATGGTTGGACTCATTACTGACCATATGCCACTTCCTTTCGCAGTTTCCAGCTTGTCTCCGAGATCGGTTCAACGTTCAACAAAAGCACCGGGGGCCCAGGGGTCTTCAGGACGATATCTTAGTTTTTTATCTGATATGAATTTGTGTGGCGCATTCTTTGTTCAAAGAAAAGAGTTTAATCGTGAACTGAACAATGAAAATCAAGAACGTCCGTAAATGCCGCACATTTTTAACACCCCTAGCTTCCGTTTACTAGAGGAGGGCATACATACGATTGTTTTATTGTCGTTTCTGGGGTCGGCGCGAATTTGCCACCCCTCGCAGTCGTGAAAATGGGGAAAAAACGCACTAAGTACAATGCTTGCACATTTCTGGATTTTGATATTTTCCTCTCGAACCGAAGTGGTAGTAAAGCTCATGTACGTCCAGTGTACGTACAAATACGAGCACACGACGATAATGTCAGATCACGATAGGGTCCCAGTGCGCCTTGCAGAACCGGTCACGTCGGCTGCCACAGACAGCAACCTACCTGGTTTACTCACCATACATTTTAAACCAACGCTTTAATACTGCATTTTCGTCAGTATACTGGTTTTCGTCACTAAACCGAAAAGAACCGAGAAGTTTATGAGTCTACAAATATTCACCGCAAAAACCGAAAATTTCTGTTTGGAATAAAAACCGAAAAATGTACACCGAATTTAGAAATAATAAAAACCGAAAATGCCAAACCCTAGCTATATTGTCAATGTCCTGTTTTGTCGCACTGCTGTTTCGACGCCGTTCTTTTTGTCGCTGTGCCCTTTTGACGTTGTGCTGTTTTGTCGCTGTGCTGTTTTGACGCTGTGCTGTTTTGACACCGCGCTGTTTTGGCACGTGCTCTTCTGTCGCTGCGCCGTTTTGACGCTGTGCTGTTTTGTCGCGTGCTATTTTGACGCGTGCTGTTTTGTCGCCGTGCTGTTTTGACGCTGTGCTGTTTTGACGCGTGCTGTTTTGACCGTGCTGTTTTGTCGTGTGCTGTTCTGTCATGGTGCCCCAATCACGTTCCACGCTAAACTATGACACGCGTAGCATTGGTTAGCTTTGGACGAATAATGCTCCGTGTCCAGATCCGAACCACTGTCCGCCCGTTCCCATCAGTGAATCGAGACACGGGCACCGATACGTGCATCAAAGCGAAATACCACGCAATGTCTAAGTGGCTCGTGATTGGATCTGGCGGTTCGTAGCTTCTGCCTTTAATCCATCGTAGGGTGAGACGAAGTATAGTTTGAATATTTGTGTTTGAATATTCGAGAACAATGGTGGAAAAGAACTAACGTTTAAAAACGTAAGCATAGTATGGACAGCCTGTGGTAGGTAATACTTTATTTCAGGAGTCAATTGAAAATGACATCTGAATTCTTTCCTAGAGTAATCGTTGTAGTGATTCGGCCCCGTGTGAACCCTGTGAACCCTCCGAACGTCAAAAGCCGAGCTCGCTCTCCCAGCTTTCGTTCTTCTGGTACGATAAACCTAACTGCAGTATACCCAAATCAGATATGTACGTAAAGCGTTACTAGTAACAAGTTATTTTACCTAGTTACTTTTTTCGGTAACGAGTAACGTATTTAGTTACTTTTCTAGAAAACGAACGAGTAACGTA